GGAGGATCCTCCAGAACTGCAGAGTGTATAGGAGTGCCGAGATCTGTGGTACTGACCACAGATTGGTTGTGGCTACCCTCCGGGTCCTCTTCAAAACTCCCCAGCGGTCCAATGATCACCCTAGGGTGTTTCATTTGGACAGGTTGAAGGGGGGGGGAGTGTGCCCGGGGGTTTGCTAAGGCACTCGTTGGTCATTTCACAGCGCTTGGCAATCTAACAGACCCTTTACTTGTGGGACACCTTCAAGCATGAAACGCTGAATGCAGCTCAAGAATTGATTGGTGAACGCCTGAGAGCAAGACAGAATTTTATGTCACAGGTGACACTGGAAGCCACAGATGCTTGTCAAACGGCTCGTCTGACAGGGGATCAGGATTTGCACCTTTCATAGGTGCACAGAACTCGGTCACTGTTAAGAAGGGACAAGGAACAGTTTATCAAGAGTCTTGCTGAGGAGGTCGAAGACCATTTCTTAGTAAATGACCTGCATACCTGAAAAAGCTGAACTCTAAGCCCTCTTCACAGGTGAAGGCAATTCGCTTAGTAAGTGGTCAGATCATCTCAGATCCGGTTGTGGTGTGGGAGCATTGAGCTGATTATTTTGAGCAGTTGTACCAGGTTGACCCACCAGCAGTTAACTTGGATGCGGGTAGTGCCGAGATTCCGTTACCGGCGCAACCCATCAGTGAGGATCCACCCCACCTAATTGAATTTAGGTGGTAAAGAGTGGTAAAGCAGCGACTATTTGCGGTATCCCAGTTGAACTGTTAAAGGCTGGCAGTGAACCTATAGCGTGGGGGTGCATGCTGTCCTGGCTACCATCTGGCGGCCCGGTACAGTTCCCCCTGACCTGTTAAGGGGTGTGGTCATCCCTCTCTGGAAAGGGAAGGGGGACCGATGGGACTGCAGCAATCACCGAGGCACCACTGCTCAGTATACCAGGCAAGGTTCTTGCCCACATCCTTCTGAGACGAATCAGAGATCACCTACTGAGGCATCAGAGGCCGGAGCAATCTGGATTCACAATAGGCCATATCCTTGCACTTTGAGTCATTGTAGAACGCCGTCGTGAGTTTGGGTGTGGGCTGCTTGCAGCCTACATCGACCTCAAGAAGGCGTTTGATATGGTGCATCGGGAATTACTCTGGGAGATCCTGAGACTCAGAGGAATTCCAACAATGATTATTGGACTAATAGCAAGTCTATGTACTGGTACTGAAAGTGCTGTAAAGTATGGTAGGGGCCTGTCGAGCTTCTTTCCTGTTAGTTCAGGAGTGAGGCAAGGCAGTGTCTTTGCACCAACGCTTCTCAACTCTTGAATCGACTGGATACTGAGCTACTGTTCAAAGCCATTGTGGAGTAACTCTGGGCAATATCAAGGTTACAGACTTGACTTTGCCGATGATGTTGCTATTCTGAGTGTTTGGAAAACTTAGTGATGGCTCTGAGTGCATTTAGTAATGAAGCGATGCCCTTGGGTCTCCTGGACCAAGACCAAGATCTAGGACTTTGGGGACTTGCAAGGAGAACCTGTTCGGTCGATATGTGCTTGCGGCGAGGACATTGAATTCACAGAGCTTTACATACTTTGATAGTTCATAACTCTGGGCTGTCAGACCATGAAGTCAGCAGACGGATTGGGCTGACAGCAGGGGTCATGAACTTTCTCGACAAGAGTAATTGGAGATGCTGGTACCTGTACAGAAGGACCAAGCTATGGTCAGTTTTGCCATACGGTAGTGAAACCTGGACATTATCCTGTGCCTTGATGCCTTCTTTAATTGGTCCTTGCGCCGGATCATGGGGTACTGTTGGCGGGACCACGTGTCCAACCAACGGTTGCACTATGAGACTGGCACAGGACCTGTTACCTACCCAATCCATGATTGTCAACTCAGGCTATAAGGCCACCTGGCTTGCCCACCAGGTTGTCTCTGTTCGAGACAACCCTGGGTGGAGGAGGCCTGTGGGACGACCTAGGAAGTCGTGGCTTGGGCAGATTGATCAAACCTGTCGTGAAGAGCTTGAGATGGGCCAAGTCCCATCCTGGCGGCTTGCCATGAGGGACCCCCAAAGGTGGAAACGAAGGGTGGATGCGGCTATGCGCCCCCATCGACGTTAGTTGCTGCTGCTGATATATATATATATATATATATATATATATATATATATATATATATATATATATATATATATATTCATCTATCTGTCTTTCTGTATTTGGCCCTTAATTTCCTTACTGTGTTTATGGCCCTCCCTCCCTTAATATGACCGTTCCTTTTGTCTTTTCTCCCTCTGCAAACCATTCTTCCTAGCCTGAGCCATTCTCTTGGCCCTTGCTCCCCATCCGAGGTGTTCCCTTGACCCTTCTCTGACCCCTCTAAGCCGTCCCGCTGACCCCTCTTCCCTCCCCACCAGGCTGCCTTCGACGAGACATGGCACAAGCTCCACTTCGGCGTGTTCCGGGACCGCGTGACGCTGTACCTCGACTGCGAGCGCA